GATAAACTACTAGATATATAATTTTTAACCCTTTGGCATACGAATTAAATGAAACTCGACATGACCAAAAAATGATATTTATTTCCCATTTTAACATTTGTATAAACTGAACCTAATTTAATTTCTATGCTCTTATGTTTATACAACGAAGCGTCATAAACACATAAAACACGTATGCCAGACGTCATTGTATGTCAAGGAGTTGAAAAGTGAATCTTCGTCAAGTAACCTCAAATTTCTGATTAAATAAACAAAGAATTCATGATAAAATTTTTCCATTCTTTTTCTTCTGGTTCTAAAAAAATAGAACGCGATTAATGTTAATAATTGCCTTGATACTCCTACAAAGCATTTTGTTCTATAAAAGAGTTTTAATTATTATCAAATTTAATCAGTTTCAAACTCAATCAGTATAATTATAATGAGTAAACAGTGTTTAATGAAACGTAATATATTCATAAAACGTATCTACAAGTATTCGAATTCTTTCGCGAGTACACTGTGCATTGAACAAGTCAAAAAAATTAGAAAGACTTACGTGTAATAAGTGCCACGTGTTGGCCAGATTAATCCACCGTACTCGTTTGAAAAGTTGATACATCGATACGCTCATTACACGCACCTGGAAATAACGAGAACATTGGTTGGAAACGTTGAAAAGTTTTTATCGGGCGCAGAAGCGAAGTAGCGAACGTGGTGATTAGCTGGTCTGACCCTAACATTCTGATTCTACTTCTAATTTGTACCAGACACAGAGGCGGCCAACTGTTTCCTTCGCTGATAATAACGAAATATACACGGCTATGTCGGCATATTAATTAACCAAACCACCATGACCACCGTTCGTTGCGAGTGCAAGAGTATCTCTGGAAATTGATCGTGTCTTACGAGACGAAATTTGTCAGGCGAATCGTAAATTCTTGGTCGACTGACTCGGTTGGCTCAAGCTGCCTTTGCATTAGGCAACCACAGTCGAAAGATCGTTCAATCAAAAATAGACGAATTGGTTATCTTTGAAACAGAAACAGAAGTCGTTTCAACTTGATCAACACTGCGTTCAAATCTCATTTGCTCGCTCAGCGGAAAACTTTTGAATGCTTAAAAATAAGGGATCTTCAACATGGAAATTCAGAAAATTATGAAACTTTAGAATATGAGTTTTCCTGCCCCTGAAAATTTTCAATCGATAGAAAAACAATTACTTCTCTTAATCAAAGGCTATCACGTGGCGAAATATTCATCAATTGTTCGCAATTTAATAAATAATTAATCACGCAGAGCGCGAAAGTCGTAATTTGGAAAAGGTGACTTTTCTCTCGAAAGCTAGTAACAAACAAATTGACGATAATTTATTGCACTTTACTCCAATTACCGCGATTTATTAAATTTATTCGTACGAAAGTTGCCATTTAAAGAAGCAATTTTCCTTTCAAAATCTACAAAGTAAAATCGAAAAGATACTTAGATAAGGAAACAATCACAAGTGAAGTTTCACAATTTTCTGTATTTCTAAACCTTCCCCTGTCCGACTAAAAGTTGTAAAAAAAACGATTCTATGTTCAAGCAATTTCGAAGAGAATTTCAACCCGGACCAAAAATTTCCCAACACGAACGAGTTGCGTTTAACGATCGTTCGAACAGGGGCGGAGAGAGAAAAATCGCGGGGAACGAGCTCGAGCCTGGTAATAAAATTAAGCAACGGCCAGTTTGAAGCCAGTTTCTGGATTAGTGGCTCGCTTGTCTCGCAAACACGTGTCTCGCAAGCCAGGCCAAAAAGGCAATCGCGATGAGGCTATTATCGCCCGGCTCTGGCTAGCGTGTTCGAATACACTTTGCGTATTCATTACAATGCATCAGACGAAATGAAGCCTCGGTCCCGTTCATTTGCTTAGATAAGCTACGATCGTCCCGTCGCCTCCTCGTTGTCCTCCTCCGTCCTTCCGAAACAGAGCCACGGATCGCCACCACCCTGCACAGCAGGCGCTCTCTCCTCTCATTATTCACTCGCGACGAAGAGGTATGTTCGCGATTTGGGTTGCGATATTCGCGCGGTTAGAATGCAACAGCCGACGTTCGTGGAAATAATTTTGCGGGAGACGGTTCGCTGCCCGTCACATCGATGGAAATTCATTCTCCTCTCTCTCTCTCTCTCTCTCTCTCTCTCTTTCTCTCTCGTCCTGCTCGGGAGAGTGATCGATCCTCTCTCTGGACAACGACGATTCGATGTTGTTGTTCCGGGTGTTTGAAAAATGATTCACGGCTTTCTTAGATAGATTGTTCAGATTCTTTAACCGGGATTTGTTAAAGCTAAACACACTTCCGTTTCTCACTTGTGTTTTTTCAAAAACAGCATGCTCGGAGATCATCCTGGATTAATTCGGTGTGCGGAATTTCTTTGAAAGATTTATAAGACTGCAAAGTATTCGCTTAGCTTTCTTAGATAGATTAGGCATCTATTGTTGTTTAGATTTCTTCAAGCGAAATTTGTTAAAGTTAAATTGCTTCTCTGATGTTTTTCAAGAACAGCGTGCTCTTGAGGAGATTATCCTTGATCAATTCGGCGTGTACAATTTCTTTGAAGATCCGTAGATTTAAAATTAACGGTGCAGAACGTTGAGAAATTGCAAATAATTTCTCACTTCCCGTCCCGCCAGAACTTCGCTCTTGTAATTTCCATTCCCTCGTGCGTTAACAAAACACGTCATTCGCAAACGAGTAACATAGCCGCGTAAGTGAATAAAATGGAAATAAAGATCACCGTTTAACTCCGGAGGAATGAAAGTTTGATCCAGGCGGGAGAGGGGTAACTCCAGGTGCGTATGTAACAAAGGGAACGAGGCAGAGTTTGGCGTTGGTTACTCGCGTCCCTGGAAAATTGCGCGTTAACCGTCGATGGTTGAAGCCGCGTTCAGGCCACGACCGTGAAGAACAGGAAGTCGTTGGTGAAGAGAAAAACGCCACGCAGGTATATATCGCAATATGTCTCACCAACGGTTGAAACACTAACGATTTGATTGCGCATTGTCACGCGACGCGAGATTTCTACTTTCTAAGCGACGAGATGTATCCTCAGTTACGATACACACGTCGCCCGACATCGTGGCTCTATTTATTTAAGAGTCACGCGATTTATATCCCCCCTTCCTTCTCGCCTTTCTTAACCACGCATCTGCGAGTCCGTATTTACCCCTTGTAACCCGGCGAAACGTTATGCCCGTTTCAGTGATCAGATTACGGCTTCTTGAACTCGTTACGCGTGCTCCAGGGTGCTTAATGCTAATTCCCCGCCGGGTAGCTGCGTAGCTGGCGCGTATTACGCTCGATAAAAATAATGGTAACGAGAATAATAACGGCGATAATAGGAAGATTGTCGTCGTTATACACGCGGCCACTCGGATATTAGCGCTAAGGATGACGGACTAAGTGTGTCTCGCTGGCCAGAGTGTTTCTCAAATATCCTTAAATATCCTCGAACAAAGCACACTCGAACAAATATATTCAAACAAACCTCGCGGATAATTTCAAGAGGCTTAATTCTAAAAACGATTCCTTTGTTACGGCTAGGCAAAAGATTAAGATCGAAATGGCCATTCCGATTTCATCACGTTACGTTGAAACGTCTCAATATCGATGATGACGTTTTCGAATTGACTCTTTCATACGCTCGTCCAAGGTAAACATGGATGTAAATTAATTGGTTAACCGGTCGCTGGCATAATCAGCGAGAACGTGAAATTTCCCTGCAGGGAAATCGCGAATATTTGTTGTAGAAATCGGTGTTAAACGACGAATGTCATACGTACGACTCGTTACCGTGTGTCGTGTGAAAAGTTCTCGAATAACTCGAATAACTCGATCTGTTGTCCACTTGTATTCATTTTAAGATAAATTAGGTAAAATGTTTTTTATTCATTTATTTTTTTATAATTTATAGCAAATTTGCACTATCAGCCTTGTTGACGTGGCATGTGAATTCAAGGTTAGCATCGAGTCGTGAAACTGGCGAAGAGATTATTACGATGAATATAATGTGTGAAGAAAATAAGACGATTGCAGGAAAGAAAAGAAAAGAAAAACATGGAGTGAACGTTTCTCATCGAGAAATCAGAGAAAAACGATGATCCGTATAGACGAAAATTGAAATGAACAAGCCTTGCAAAAAATTTTCTACGCGCCTTTTGTCCTTGCCTCGTAGTTCGATGATTACAGAAAAGACTCAATGTTTCTCATTCATTTTTTATCATTATTATACAATTTACTTTTCATACTTTTTAGAACGAGCTTTATAACGAATTCGTATCGTCCTCCTCCAACGTGACGTGCGAGATCATGAAACTGGATAGAATATTTTTGATACGATTATTGATACGAAAAAATTGAAATGAACGATCGTTGGGAGAATTTTCTACGCACCATTTGTCCCTGCCTCTTCGATGATCCGATGATTCGCGGTTTGGGCAGAGGAGAGGACAAACATTTCTATCCAAACAGAAAAATCGAGCGGCAACTGTGCAAACACAATTAACCACGCCGAGAGAGGGGGCCCCGAGCCTGTACGCGAATTTGAGTCGCGTATTTTTCCACGTAGCAAGTTTCCAACTACATCGGCGAATTCCATCGGTTCGCACGGCACGACCTGCTGCTTTCACCAATTTGAGCCGGCTAATTACGCGCTAAATAGCCGTTCATGCAGCACCGTGGTGCGCCTATTTTCTCTCTGCTCTCGCCTCTCTTTCTCTCTCTCTCTCTACTTGCCTCTCCCGATCCCGATCCCGTCGCGTCCCTTGTTAGACCGCTTACGTACGTACCGCGCGCTTGATCGATAGCGTAATTATTTAATTACGCGGCCATCGCGTATCGACGTGCTCCTCCCGCCTCTGTCTGTTCACCGCCGGCCGTTTTCTACTTCGGCTGGCATCGGCCAGGTTTGCCGAGACCGGTCGGCCAACCACCGGCTGACTAACGACACGGTGAAAATCGATCTTGCGAACTGTGGATGGAGCTGTGCGCGGAGACTAGTAATTAAAAAGTTGTGACTTGGGCGTTGATTGAAGATAACGTTGCACATTCGTCGAAGCATGTTCGAACGATCGAACGAAATCTAAAGATTTGCTTGCCTGCCAGTAATGGAACGATTTATTTCCCTCTGTGATCCTTCACGAAGAAGCAATCCTTTCATAACGTCTTGAATAACGAGAAATATGGAACGAACAGAGAGAAAGACTCTTTAATGTAATAATGCAAATTATGCAATTGCCTGAGAATAGATTCTACGAATGTCTGATTAGATTATAATCCAACATTCTGTTTCTGGAATACTCGACCTTCTTCCGCTTACTTCACTTAGTTAAATTGTTTCTTTATGAAATTCAGTTTGCAGCTATGAAATAATTGATCCCCTTCTACTTAGATTTTCTCCCGTGGCATTCACGTGAAATTGTGTAAAGTAATACGAAATAATCTTCTGTCACTCTGAGCAACTCGCCTCTGAATACGAAATCTCCCGACGATTTTCCAACGAGAAATTTAAGCGCCCGGTAATCTCCCCTCTGTTGCAGGTGAAAATCTGGTTTCAAAATAGACGAGCGAAGGCGAAGCGGCTGCAGGAAGCGGAGATCGAGAAGCTGAGGCTTTCGGCGAGGCCGTTGTTACACCCGAGTTTCGGCTCTGGCCTGATGTTCTCCGGAGTGGGGCCTCCCGGAACACCAGGAGTGCCTCCCTTCATCGCGGCGGCCATGGCTAGGCACACCCATGTCGCGGCCGCGGCAGCCATGTTCATGGGGCCCCCTGGACACAGGCCTTAATAAGGCAGAGTCGAGCTGCCAAGAGCCCAAGTCGCTCGTATACCCTGGCCAGTCTGCTTCTTCCGCACTGGCGAACCGCGCAAGAACCTCCTCTCTCTCGTTGCGAGATTCAATCGAGCTCGCTGAATCCACACCCGGCTCCTCTGATTTCGTTGGAAAAGAAAGAAAGAGAGAGAAAGAGAGCAGAACCGCTGAGAGAGGATTCAGTGGAACTGATCGTGGTGTAATTCTATGATCGAAAGATGGAAACAAAGGAAAGGACCGGAGGAAACTTACGATGGTTCGTAAAATGGTGACGGGTTTGGAGAATCGAGGTTGAAGTTCCGAGTTTCGAAAGAGAGAATGAAATCGGTGCTGGGAGTAACAAATAAGTGATCTGTGACTGTGGCCAGCGACAAGAGAAAATAGGATAATGCTACGAAGGATATACGTCTGCTGGCGAAAAATTTTCGATCAGACGCGAATTCAAAAACACCGTAACTTGTGTCCCATTTCCATTCGAAATACGTTCCAAAACCAAAGTCAGCGATTTTCAATTTCCATTTGACAGACTGTATTGTTTCTTGATCCCACTCGTGTCTCGATTGAAAAGTTTTTACTACGGGCGTATCGCGACAACAATATCGGAGGAACTGTTCTATTGAAGATCTACAGCTCGCGTGAGAGATCACCGATCGAACGAAGCTGCGATCTTGAAGCCCGTCACCTTCTGGCGAACCTCGAAATCGAAGATCTCGTTCGTCAAGCCTCAATGAAAGCTAATTCAGTGACAAGTGATCCGGTACGGACGCGGAGGAAATTGTGGAACGTACGGCGTGAGTTTCTAAGCGCGATCTTCGTCGCTCGTCGTAGAAAGCTCGACGACGCGACGAAGTGTTCAACTGTGGCGTTCTCGCGAAACGATAAATCGACGGTGACTTTTACCCGCCGGGGCCAGAAACGTGACACCGAACTCTCGTCTCTCTTTTATTTTTTATTTTTTTTTTCTTCTTCTTCTACTTTCGCGCGTCCTCGTGCCGCGACCGGAATGATTTTATTGCACGCGAAACAACCTTTCGGACGATATACTTTGCAAATGAATCGATTGCTTGATGCTGACGAATATCCCGATTTCGAAGCAGTTCTTACGTTCTCGTCCTTCAAGTGAATTTTCGATTTTATTCGCAATTTGTGTCACGCAACGGAAGATCGCACAAGTCTTCGAATGTAATGGCATCAAATTGTTTTAAAATTAAAAAGAAATAGTCGGCAACGACCGTGCGATCAAAAGTCATTCGTCCGCGTCGAGTTTAATCGTTCGGTCGCGATGCTACTGCATTTAGAAGACGTTTTTTTCAAGGCGTTTGATCTCACAGTGAAAGGGGCAGAGGGAAACAAAAAAGAGAAAATCGTACGAAACCGATGTACATATTGTAAATATAAGCCTTTATCGAATCGCGAGTGAGTGTACGTATGTATATATAAATATTAATATATCGACGCGTGTACAGGACGTTCGACTTCCGATTAATCGCGATGCGAGTGAAGGAAAAACGCGACGAGAACCGGGAAGGTCGACCGACAGAAAGAGTAGAAGTCAAAGGACAACGTCTCTCGAACGACGTTGCTGACCGCGACACCGCTCGTTTCAATTAACCCTGAGCTCCTTCGGTTCGTTTATCCCCCGGAGGGAAAAAACGGGTGACGATATATGATCGACTATAGGTCGGTGAAGAGGAAGGAAAAGATGAGAGAGACACGCTGCGTAGCCGATGACTCCACGCTAGAACAGAAGCTCGAGTAGAATTCCCCGCTCCTTCCCCAAAATCCTTTAACGATCGCATCGAAATCGCGTCGAGAAGAAGTTCGAACACGCGCAGAGACTGGAAATTGGAAAACTCGACATGACACGACACTGAGTGCAACAGTGAACGCAAACCGGTGACGTAATAAATTATTTAACAGAAGGAAAGAAAAAAGAAATTCGCGCGTTTCACGATGGAAATTCCTCGACTGGATGGCGAGCGTCAGATGAGTTTTCTTTTCTTTTTTAAAGAAATAAGCAGAGAGAGAGAGAGAAAGAGAATGAGTGTGTGTGTGTATATACGTGTATACGTGTCCAAAGGACAACAAAGGGGTGTAAATTTTCGACAGGAACCGGCGATCGTTTCGAGATCGTCACGAGTATGTGTATCGTTTCGACGTTGCGAACGCGACCGAGTTGCCGGATTGTACCTAAGCGTTCTGTATAAATGTAACATGATAATTTATCCATGGAAGTATACCATAGCGAAATAAAAATGATTTCAGTATTTACGCCGACTTGTTACCGATCACTCTTGCGTCCACGACGTGTCCACGAATCGTTGTCCCGCGAGATCTTTGACCCTCGACCGGCGGTAGATCCAAGGTCCGTAGATTCAAGTTCCGCAATAGAAATTTACTTTCTCGCTTCAGTCATTTGGAAGAAGGATTACATGGATATGTAATGATATAAAAGAAATAAAAAAAATAAGAATGACTAACAATATAAAGAAGAATCGAACGGACCAAGCATTCGCCGGACGAGGGTCGACTTTAATCTCTTTAGTTTTCAGGATCCGTAGGAGCTAGAGGTAAGTGAAGAGTCGATTAAACGGAAGAAAATGAAAACGAACGCAAGATTTCTAGATCCTCGTCTCTTGATCCTTCGTCGAAAGAAACAGGGAGAAGAAAAGCTGATTGAAAGATGAGAGAAACGAAGAAGGAAGGGAGTTGCTCGTCGGGCGCAACGAAATGTATCGCAAAGTCATCGGCGACGAGAGGTGAGTGGCGGCTTCGTATATGGCAAGTAGTCGAGGCAACGGTATAGGGCGGCCGAAAGTGTCCGCCAGATAATTAGAAATATGTTAATCCAGCGTAGCCGCTAATTGGTTTTTGACTAAATTTTTAATTAAGTCTTAAGCCCGGGCGGCGCGCTGATTTATCGCGGCGAGGCCCCCGGCTAATTATAAAATATCTGTATACGTACGAGTCCCACGCACACACAGACACACACACACATTCTGTACGCACCTGTCCCGAATAATCTGTCCATGAGCGTCGACCTTTTTCCGTTTCCCTCCGATATCAAACCGTCTAATTGGAGTCGATCTCCTTCTTCGCTTGCCTGAAATATTCGGTCAAGTTAACGAGCCTGAACCTTCTAACCAATTCCTCGTATCGCGGATTATTATTCAAATTACTTCGCCGAGGAAGAAGATCAGCTTGTCGCAAGATAAAATCTGGTGGTCTCGTTCTCTCGCAGAGAGTCCTTCTGTCGAAAGAAGAGCCAAGTTCAAACGTTCGAGCGATTCGCGAGAAAGAGAGAGGGACTGAAATTCAACAGTTGTGACGGAAGATTTTTCGTACAAAAGTGGTTGCAATGTCGACGCCAATGCGTGGATTCACGTATACTCGCGTCCAGGGTCCACCTTCCCTATCTACTGCAAGAACGGGGTAGAGCCAGCGCAGCCACCTTCTTCGGGCTGAAACGAGAAGGGCCGGGGGATCTGTTCCACTGGCACGTCCGATCAAAGAGGTCCGCCGCCTTCTTTGAATCCGTCGGCCCCGACTCGTAACTGTCGTCCCCTCATTCGAGACCAGTAGCCTAATTGTTCTCGGCGGTGCTGCCGATATATATATATATATA